TGTATATAAGCATATATTCTACACATGCATATATACATCGGAGAGGTAACCAAACGAGAGGATACCCTGTATGTATGTTAATGAGTGAGATATGCATGATATTAAATATTAAAGAAAGTATTAATTAAATTAATGATACATTTTAATAAATAAATTTAAATTAAGAAAATATGAAATATTGATACTAAAACTTGTATCGCCATCTCTGTCAGTATCCGTAGCTGTGCTTTGATGTTACATTATGTGTTAAAAACTCATCATACATCTTGAGCGCATTTGTATGTTTACAGGGTATATAAATTCCTTACGATTGACTTCGCTTGGAGTTTTATTGATTGATTTTCAATGGTCGTTGCGATAAAGTGAGCTCCGTCAGAGCAACAGACAATCAGCCAAAGCTATGAGCAGCTATGCTTGCAAGCTGCTACAGCTCCCTCTACCCCTTCTAATCCACTTCCTCCAATTGCTCCAACTCCAGCTTTGACTCCTGTCGTGACGTGCCAGCGCACCAGCGTGCCAGGCACACGTTGCGTATGCTCAATATATAAATATATATATATACATATATATATATATATAGATGTATGTGTATAGATTGTGATGATGGCCACGTAGAGTTTAGTTTGAACTGCCGGCTTTGGCTTGTTGGAAGTTTGCACAAGAAATTCAAGCAATGATGAAGTGTTTTTATTGTGTTTATTGGCATGCGTTTTAATGAAGCAAACAGCCATGGAAAATAGCTGGAGGGAGCATCTGGCAATGGGGCACAGTACATTGGTGGTGCCACTCACTCGTCATCCACACACACAGAGCACTATTACGGAGCCAATTTCTGTAAGAGTGCTATATATACATATATATATATATATTTATAAGTACTTGTTTGAGTATATATACGGTTATGGTAGTCGAAACTTTTTTCATTAAAACTCTTGAAGCAGAAGGGCCAGTTGTGGCGTCAGGGGAAGAACCAGCTGGATAAGTGAGTGCAAAATGTTATTTTATTGTCAACAAGCAAAGTTACAAAACGGAGCAAAACCTGTGTGAATGAGGGAAGAAGACCGAAAAGGACCTCAGAACTGAGAATTGTTATGCTGCCAAAATTTATTTAATATGCAATATAAACACAGCAACAAGGACTCTCTCTCTCTCTCTCACTCTCGTACAGCAAGGACGACAACAACATGACACGCTCATAAACTCATTTAGGGAGCAACAACAACAGCAACAACACACAACTCACAGCTCGGAGCTCGGAGCTTACAGCTGCTCGTTTTTAAGGGACAGCAAAGAATTTTTTAATAATACCTCAAGGATTTCGCAGAGCAAGTGCAAACACTAAGGATACCATGAAATATACATAGATAAATGTTGCTCCTCTTGTTGCTGTTCTTGTTGTTGTACTCTATGTCAAAGTCAGTGCTAACCCACAACTGCGCCCACAACTTTTTTCATTAATTTTGAAAAACAACTCAACAGCAGCTCAAATTACCCACAGGCTTCTCACGCATTAGCCATGGCGATTAAGCAACCAACCCTCCCCTCCCGCCCCCCTGTCCGCACAAAGGTCAATAAAAATGTTGCCACAAACTTTTGCCAGCCTACAGTCATTATCAATTTATGCCCCGAGGGTGGACCCAAAGTGTACATCATTTTTTTGGTGCCAAAATTGAATTGATTAATAAAATATTGAATTGCACCTCTCCATCCGCCCTCCATTCCCACCCCAGATGCTGTATAAAAGTTCAAATAAATAAAGTTTGAAATTAATTTTCCGTTATTTTTTTTAATCCAAATATTTAGATATTCTGCATTTTGGCATTTCTATAATCAATTAGCAGGGTTTTTTCTGCTCTAAATAACACAAACTATACAAATATTTAATTTATTTCAGCCCTTTGTTCCGCACTTATTTCTACTCATTGAATTTGGAATTTTTGGGACTTAATGATGTATTTTCATTATCGGCAAAAAATTCCAAAAACTTCTAATTGTAAACTGCGTAAGTTGTGCAAAATTTCAACAATTATTCGATGGCATAGCATTATAGACACGTTGAGATTAGTTGTAAAGATTGGCATCATTAATTTTTGCGGCATAAATTAAGTTTAGTTTTTTCTAACAGCGATTAACTCTGCAGATTGCCACGTTTGTTTTATCCTAAGCGAACTTTATTTGCCAGTGTTACAAACAGTTGAAGTTAGATATTGGTCTTAAATCTTGTTTATTGCCTGAGTTATAATCAGTTGAAGTTAAGTATTGCTCTTAAATCTTGTTTATTGCGGCTTCTTGTGGATTGCTATCAAGCATGTTCTTCCTATTACTTAAGCATGTGCTAAGGCAAAACACAAACAAATGTTTTAAGTTTTGCCAGAAATAGCTATGTTTAACGTGATATATTTGCATTTGACAATCTCCTCACTTTCTGGTGCATTCTTCCCTAGATTCTTGTAACCACAGCAGCTGCAGCAACAGTGTTGCAAGTACAAACCGAATGCCATAGCATATGCATGACGCATGTTGTTAATGGCATTTGCAAAATGGAAAACTGGCCAAAAGCGAAGAAGAAAGCTTGAAGAAGAAACGCCAAAGGAAAAAAAAACACACTTCAAAAGTGACGCTAAGTGCTGGACTCTATAGCTCTCTGTTGCCGCAATCACATCTGGAATGCTCTTTGCTCTTGGCTGCGGCCAAAACCAAAAAACCGGAGGGAAAAATTTGCGGGGGATGCGCAAAAAAAAAGCAGAAAAAAAGCAGACCGCACGCAAAAAGGGTTAGCTGAATGCTGGCTTTAAGCCTGAACTCAATATGTGCATAACTTTCGCTTTCCTTGCCTTGCGGCCCTGCTCCCAAATGCCAAACATAATCTCTGACCCAAATCCCAGAACCATTCGCATTCCCTCCTAGTCTAGTGTAAGTGACGCCTTAAAGACATAAACAAACTGTGTCACTTGGCTCGTGCTCAGGCTCAGGCTCAGCCTCATCCACAGTCTCCGTATACCTGTAAAAGGAGTGCAGGGTGTGGAGTGTTTGTAAAACAAATATTGGCACTTGCCTCAATAAACTGGGTAAGGCTAAGTCGTTTCCTTAGTTCTGCTCCACTTGGCTTTTGCTCCCAGCAAAATAGGTCACAAATGTTGGCGGAGAGAAGTACCAAATCCGGCTAGACTTTAAGCTGCGTAGTTATGGCAGCTAAAGACAGCTCAATATTTGGCCACAACAAATAGAAACTCAAAGTTAAGCCATGTAATTGCAGTGCAGACATATAATCCGACTCCACACACACACACTCACAAACAAATATACATTCGCTTAAAATAAGACTATAAAAAATGGATTTCGTGTAGACATTTAGAAAGTTACCTACAACATTTTGAAAGAGAAAGAATTTATTAAAAGATTTTAAAGAATTTTCATAAATTAAATTTATGCGGTATTTACGACTACTATAAATCCTCCTACTTTTTGCTCAGTGCACTGATGCCATATTGGAGAAAACCTTTGAAATTTTAATGGGATTTAAGTGACTTGTTTAGGTTGGGGGCGCATTGCTGTAGGCATGGCACTTGCGCTTGACTTAACAAATTAATGCAAATCGTGCATAACAACAGGCAGCCCTCTTTCCATCCTCTCCGCCCAACACCTGCCCCTCCTTCGACACCTATAAGCGACTTGTGCGTTTTCCGCTTGAAAATCTAATGAATATTTATTAACTTGTTCGTTGGTGGAGACTTTGGCACTTTGGCTTTCACAGCTGGTTTGAGCCTTGTTTAAAAAAAGAAGAGAAAAAACGCTTACATCTCGATTTTCAAGCTGTAATTTAATTGCAGGTGCCTTTAGTGCTAAGGACAACAGGGACGACAGCATCCGTTTCCGCTGTGGCACAACATCCGCCAATCCGCCGAAGCTGCGACAATCGCATTAGAATGCGCTGCACTTGTCACCACCTGATGGATGGATGAGCTGCGCCTCGAGCCGCACGCTGCAGTCGCGGCATGTTGTATGTCGATCATTGCACCTGCATATTTGTGTATATATATATATACATATATATATATATATATATATATATGTGTGTGTGTGTGTGTGTATATAGTGTGAGTGGCAGCTGCCACTCCTGTCTGTTGCTGCTGCTTAATGCACTCATTTAATTGCATTATGCCGCAGGTCCTCTCACATTGCCTTTAAGTGCGGCTGGGCAGGTGAGACAAGTGGCAAGTGGCATGTGGCAGACTGGCTGACTTGACACCGCGCCAGTTGAGCACTCAACAACAATAACAATAGCAATAGCAACAGCCGCACTGCATTCATTTGCATATGAACAAGAAAGAAGTTGTTAGCATCGCTATGCCGAATCTAGAATGCTCTCAGATCCCAAAACTCTAAAAAAAATACTTGCCTTATTATTCAGAAAGCAAATTTTTAAAATTAAAGGCTGTGGCGTTCTAAAAGCCAAAACTTGTGTTTCTCAATTTCTACAATTTAAAAAATATATTTAATTTCTAGAGGGATGCTTTCTAATTGGGATTTTGTGGTAATTATATTAGCATTTAAATATAGATAACTTAATTAACTTTTTTTTTTTAAGAATCAGAGTTTGCATGAAATGTATTCCTTTGTTTTCGAAAATATTTTAATATAAGAAACACTTTTTTTTTTGTAATTTAAGGCAATCCTTTTTAGTTTTAAGAAAAATGACTTTTATATTGAGATTATTTCTAAAAACAGGAAAAACTTTCTAATTTTCAGGGCTATTTTTTCTGAGTGTAGTCACACAATGTCTTTCTTTTATATAGTTAAAAGACAATTCGTCTGTTGCTGCTAGCTATGAAATCGTAACACTCTCTCTAGAAAGCAGAGTATCAGAAGAGCCTGCAGTTCATATACACACTTTGTTGTCCCGTCCCATTGACTTTAATGAAGTCAAGAAGCTGCGGCTGCTTTTAACCGGGCATCTTATGTAAAAGAGTCAACACAACACAGCATCCATATTTATATAATCACAAAAGCTGCAAATGTATAATTACATAAGATTATGCATATATCTTACAGTTAACTGAAATTTGTGATATTGCATTTAAAACATGAAGCACGGATAATATGGCTGAATGATGTTCATCCAATTTAACTGGTATCGGAGAAGAACAGCACAACAATTGGGCACTGGATGACTGACAGGTGAATGTTCATCCTTGTTCACCCAAATAACGAAGAGATTGTTGCCAAAGATGCCCATCTGGCTTTTAAGGACGTTGAAGGCGATGGTTGCCTCATAATTGTTGCGATACTCGATGATATAGGCATACTGCAGCGGTTTGTACTCCAGCACGTACAACTTGTCGTAGCGCCAGATCAGACGCAGTTCCTCATACACCTGCAGCGGATTCAAATGATTCACATCTTTGAGAAATAGACTCTTCAGATTATTCGATTGGCGCACCTGAATTTTCAGCTTGGCCTGACGAAATAAAGACTGCAAGCTATAAAAAAAAATAAAAAAAACAAAATATCCAATTGAAATGTAAATGTGAATATGTGCTTCTTCTTCTAATTCTAGTTACACAGCCAGTGCTCGTTCCATGGTGTCCACATTGACGTATTGCAAGTAGGCATAACCACGCGACCTGAACGAGAAATCGATCTTGAAGCGCAGCATGTAAACATCGTCCAGTTGAATGGCCACTCGCATTATATCCTCCGGCGTCGTTTGCTTCTTGATTCTTGTGAGAAATATCTGTAAATTCACGATTAGATAGAAATTGTACTAGTTTCGGACGATGATTTATGACGGCACCTCGCCGGCTCCACTTTCCAGTGCCATTAGCTGAACGGCTGTCATCGGCAAACATGTAATCACATACAGGGTGCCATTCACATGATGCTTGCAATAATTGTTCGTCCAATGTGGCTCCATTTTCAAGCTGAGAGAAACGCGTGCGCGAAAGCTGTGTGTTCGTTTGTGTAACTGTATTGGTGTATTGTTGCCAGCTTTGATTTTAAGCGTTGCGAAACGGTGGCCTTTGACAGCGTTGCCAGAAGTTTTCGATGTGCAAATGCAGCAAGCTGCCAGCTATCGATCGAAAAGAAGATCGAATAGAAGACATATTTCAAATATTGATTGCTATTATTCAGCTTGCAGTCCAATTGATTCAGTTTGAGGTTTGAATAAAGTAAAATCACTTTATGTATGTTGTATGTACTGTAATTATAAATAATTATATATTACTGCATCCTAAATCACGGTTCAACTTCCATTTAATTAATATTTTTGTTCCTATTCACAAAAGTTTTGCATTAAAATCAATGAAGTACTTTTAAAAGTACTATTTAACAGTAATTGTTAATTAAATATAAGTTAGCTAACTTGAGATAATGCACAAGATAGAAAATATATTTGTATATATGTTAGCTAACATCATTTTAAACAATGACAAAAAAAGCTGTTAAATAAAGCTAAAATGGTACCACTGCAGCGTTGACAGCTTGAATTTAATACGCTGTGTTGCCAGATTGACTTGCATCATATCAACACTGAAATTAAATACGCTCCACGACAGTTATGCACAAAAGACTGCCAAATAGCTGTCATTGTTTATGTTTTATTCGTTTTTTGGGTATTTTCTAGCACACATGTCAAGCAACATTTTGTTGCCTTGGCTGCTGTTGATGTTGTTGTTGTTGTTGTCGTTGCTTTGTATTTGGACAGGTTGTGCGTGCTTTTTTCTAGTTCAGGCTTAACAATATAAATTAATGCAGGCCACACACAACTTTGAAAGTGCCACGAAACCGCAGCCCACACACTTTGTAACGGTTGTTGTTGTTGCAGTCGTTGTTGTTGCGGTTGTGCCACCCAATGGGAGACAGGCTTAAGTCGAGCAGAGACTGAAACCCATCCCTGCTGCTGCTGCTGCTGATGCACTCAAGTGCCTGCTGTTACTGTTGCTTCTGCTGTGGCTGCTTCATTTTCCTAATTTATACGCGCGCAACACTAATGAAAATTTGCGTGGCAAGGCAGGCAAACCACATGCTTTATTGTTGTTGCTGCTCTTGTGCTTATTGTAAATGACATGGGCGTTGATTCTGGCACTTCAAGGTGCACGCAGCACCTTCTCCTCACAGCACTCCACTCCACTCCAGCAGCAGCAGCAGCAGCAACAGCTCCACTTGAGCCTTTGCCTCTGCGGCTTTGTGAAAGTTGTGCCCTATTATAATCCCGTCACGGCCTCCTATATGCCGCGCCTCCTTGGTTGGCCTTGATGATGAATTGCTTGAGAGGCAGAACAAAACAGTTTTGTGCAGTCAACGAAAACTGACAGCAGATCATGAATTATATATTAAGTGAAAATTATTCTCAGTGTGCCTGAGGCAGTCGACAAGTTAATTTCATTTCTCTTTCAACATATTCAATATATTCGAAAAAAATATATAAAAGAGAAATGGATGAAGAACTAAATGGGGAACATTTGGATCGCCATTTTATGCAGCAAGTCAAGGAATATGAAACGGTATTCAGGACCAAAGCCTGCCCATCGGATCAGGAGATCATAATGTGTTGGCTGCGCATCCTTACGGCGGCACCCGAGTCCCAGAAACTGGCCAGAAATTGCCTAATGCTGCTCATGTATGGGCATTTAAATGAGATCGGCTATTTGCAGAAACCCTTCACGGATATGCGCAATTTTGGCAAGGATCTCAATGACATATTGGACAGCTATAAGGGATTGCCGGTGCCCAGTGCAGTCAAGTCTACTAAAAAGGAAGCAGAGACAAGCAAAGATGAAAGGGAAATAGAAAAGTCCTTCAGGGATATGTACATTGTAGGAAAGAGTCAACATAAAATAATGGATAGCTATAAGGGACTGCCATTATTCAAGGAAGATAAGTCTACTCAAAAGGATGCTGTTGCAGGCGAAGCCGAGACAATTAAGGATATAAGAGAAAGGGATAAACATTTCAGGTATATGGACATTCCAGGGAAGAATCGTAAGAAAATATTGGATAATTATAAAGGACTGCCATTAATCAAGGAAGACAAGTCTACTCAAAAACATGTTGCTTTTTGCGAAGCAGAAATAGATAACCATGTTGGAGAAAAGGATAAGCCTATCAAGGATATGCACATTGTAGGGAAACATCGTTATAAAATATATGATAACTATAAAATACTGACATTATCGAAGGAGGACAAGTCTAATCAAAACGATGTTGTTCTAGACAAAGCAGAGGCGGGTAAGGATCTCAAGGAAGAACAGAAAAGGAATAACATCGAAGAAAGGACTTGTAATAAAACAAAGGGACTCCCAATATCCACGGAAGACAAGTCTACTCAATATTATGCTGCTGCATGCGAAGTATGTGAAAAGAAGAAGGCCTTCGTTGTTGGGAAGAATCGAATTGATATATTGGATAGGTCTGAGGAACAGCCACTAATCAATAAGGACCAATGCACCCAAAAGGATGCTTCTACGGGCACAGGTGAAGAACTAGAGGAAAAGGATATGCGGCCGTATTCTAATGATCATAAATATTTACAGAAACTCTTCACGAATGTGCGAAACTTTGGCAAGAATTGTAATGAAATATTCGAAAACTATAAAGGATTGCCGACTTTAGAGCCACAGGAGAAAGATAAATCAACTCAACCTCTTAAGAATAGAATGCTGCTTGTTAATGAAAACCCATTCCTTCAAAATGCGGCAGTAGCTCTCAAAGCAAAGAAATGTGATGACTTAGAGAGTAAAGCACTGCCATCCAAGAATTATCCTGTTTCAAATAATCAGCAAAAGACTAAAAAGATAATGGCAATACACAACTATCTACCAGAGGTGAAATCAGCTAAACCTCAAGTAGCTACTAAGAACGATGAAAATAGTTACAAGGACATCAACGAATCAATTTTACACACTTCAATTGGGGCCGAGGCATACGAAACATTTGATTCACATCATTTGTACACACGAGCTGCAGCCAATCCTATGCAGGAATTGAACAAAATAATTGATGCCGTAATCAAAAATGAGAATATAAGAAAATCACAAATGTCAATTAAATCGAAGGCTATTAAGAAAACCAAACGAGCCAAGAATCAGAAAATGCCAAATGAAAATAATGATTACGAATTGACGCAACCCGTTGTCAGACGATTCACAAAACAGAATAGAGCAACTCGATCGGATCCTTGAAAGAGTTGTTTGCGTTACAAGAATTCCTGTTAAATAAGTCTAAACTTATTAAAAAGAAGGACCCGCTGGTCACTTGGCTTGAAGTAGTTCATTTAACGCCAGCTGTTCATTAATTAATTTAAATTGCTCGCTTTATTAAATTACAACCTGGTCAAAGCAACAATAGCAGAAAGAAAGTAAGGAAAGGGATGCTGGGGGAGGGGAGGAGGATCAAATAAAAAATAAATTATTCTGCTCGCAAAGAGCAGCTAATATTTTTTAATTATGCAATGCAGCACAATGCAGCAGCAAAAAGTACGACAACAACAGTGTGCAACAGGGACAATAATAACACAAAAACACAGAAAACACAAAACAAAAACAAAAACAAAAATATGGCTGCCAGCTGTGCCGCCATTTTGTAAGCAGTTGAAATTAGCAGCGAATAAAAGCGGAAAATCAGAGAAACAAGTGGCAAGCGAAAATAAAAATAAAACCAACAAAAAATACTCATTATGAACTGTCGCCAAATGCTGTAGTTGTTGTAGTTGTAGTTGTTGTAGCTGTAGCTGTAGTGGGTGCTGGCGTTTTGGGCGTGGTCAAGCGGAAACGGCAAATGGTCAATGAACTTGCCACAATGTTTAAGTAAATGCCACAAATGTCTTTGTTGCACAAATATGTAAACGGATTTACTTACCGTACAGTGCACAGACAAAGTAAAACCAAAATTATAATAATAATGAAAATAGTAATAATAATGGTCATATTAATTATAACTAATAAAATATTAATATTTCATAAGATGTAATCAAAGTCCGAATGCTGAAATGGAAACATTTGAAAAAATTTAAGCTTTAACTTTACGCGATGAGAAAAAATGATCCATATATGTAGTATGTATCATGTATGTACTTATGTATATAATATACTTATTTATTTAAATACATATATCAACTAATGTCAATAGTTCTTGAGTTAACTTTAAAAAATTGGGCACCATCTTGTGGCTTACATCTCTAACCACAACTACTTGATATTTATGTTCCACTGTATATCCTTATAAATCTATATATATATATATTTACGTATGCATACACACATACATATCACAAATGGCTTCATCAGCTGTTGACTATGCAAATGTATGGTCTATATTTAGGCATTTGTACACAACGTTCTCAGCTCCGTCTGCGGTTGCATAAATTAATTATTTATGGCTTGTGAAACATGTTGCTCAACTTTGTCATTCCCTTCTCTATCCCGCCCCCCTATATAGTCTATATAGTAGTTGGAGCTGAAAACAACATCATCATCATTATCAACATCAGCACTGTTTGCTCAGTGTGCGAATTTTGTGGTAATGTTGATGACGATGTGAGGCAACGCCTTTGGGCGTCTGCCTCATGGCTTATCTAATAGAATTGATCGCAAAATATGGTCTTGTTTGTAGTTTTCTCTTTGGCTTATTTTTTGCTGTTGTTTTTCTTTTTGTTGGTTGGCTCATTTGCATGCAAAGCACGCACACATAATTATAATTTTTACAACGTCTAAATAAACGCAAATATCTTATGCATAAAGGCAAGCGACGCATAGCTCAGTCGACTGGGCCTAAAGAGAAAGGGGGTGCTGGGTGGGGTAAGGCGGACAGGCTCAGTGTACTGTCTCTGTAATGAATGACAGTCCAAAGAAGGTGGCCGATACAAACCGAATATGACTGCAAATTCTAAAGGAAGAGTATCTCAAGGAAATGATATAATGAATTTGTTGGCCAGTTAAGCAGAGTATGAGAAGGTGCTGAAGAATTAAATGTGCGTAAGAGAGAGAGAGAGAGAGAGAGAGAGAGAAAGAGAGACGGAGAGAGAGAGGGAGAGAGAAGATTATTATGTATAAATTATTAACTATTTTTTGGAGTGATTTGATATTTTTGTAGATTATTTGAATTTTTATTACATTTAATTTAAAATTGTGTTTTTAATTTAATCAATATATTTTTGTATTTATTTGTTGACGTTAAAAAAATAAATAAATATTTTCTATCAAAATGAATATAGTTAAACTTTATTTCACATTATTTAGTTTATTTTTAAAGAGTATTTAAATTATTTGTGTTAGAGTATTTATTATTTAGCATATGCCTAAAAATATTGGCGTATTTCTTATTGCTGATACTTTTATTTAACAATTTCAAATATCATTACAGTATAATTTATGCGATTTAATGCGCTCAGCAAAGCAACCGACATATTAATGAATCTCTCACGCTCTCCCAACTGACGTCAGCTTGAGAACTGAGCAAATGGACAACTGGGCAACTTGGGAACTGGCAACTGGGCAACTGGAGAAGGCTATAAATATGATTGACATGGCTGACCAGTTTGTCAATCAAATTTTGGATATCATTCGCACAACACGCCACAACTTGGATCGGGATTAAAATGCTGTTCAAAGTGCTGCTGGTGAGTAGAATAAGAGCAGCTGCTGCTAATCAAATCTATGTTGATATTTTCCTCAGTGAGTGCACTCAAAGAAAAATCAATTACAAATATAGTCAAGACAAGAAAAGACGAAATCAATAATTCAAGTAGGCTTTTTGTAGTTTCCAAACTACTTCAATTGATATTATTTTGCTGCTAATCATATAAATTTTGCTCTCTGAGTGCACTTAATGAAAAATCAAAGAAATTAAACGACAAAATCAACATTTCAAGTACATTTATATATATATATATATTCGCCAACTACTAATTTTGAGTTTGAATTGGATACGATTGTTCGCACTTAGAAAATCAAGCTTGTAGTAAGATATTAAGTGCTTACTTTAAGTATTTTAGGAGAAGTATTTGAAGAAATATTCAACTTTTCATACTTGAATTTAGTACATAATTTTCTTCGAGTGTGTGTGTGTTTGTGTGTGTGTATTTGTGTGTATAAGTCTCATCATTGAACTGATATCTTTGGCATGATGTGCGATGCTAAACCACATTTGCTGGCAGTGACGCCTGTTGGCTATGCAACACCCGGAGGCGCACCATGGTTAACAGCAGCGGCGCCCGTTGCAGCCGTAGGCGCCGCTTATTATCCGGCATATGCATCGTATGCGTATACGCCCGTATATTACGGTTCTTATGCCGCATATCCCGCCTACTATCCTTATTTGAGGCGATGAACCTCTTGTTTATTTTCTTTCTTCTTTTTTATATATGCCCATGGGTATATGGTATACATATATGTATATATATATATGTATTTATATATATCCTGTTTTGGGACACGATTAAATTGATTAAATTTAAACACGCTTTGCGTGAAAATCTCATATTTTACGCTGTTTTTACGTTGATTCGATTTGTCGGCTGCTGTAAGTAAATAAAAATAAAAAGCATTTATGAAATCAACATCAACACACACACTCACACACACACACACACATAGAGTTATAAACAAATCAATAAAAAGGCCAAAGCAGCCGTATCCGTGTATCTCTTTGTAGCCGTAAATGTATCTGTATCTGTATCTGTGCAGCTGTATCTATGTATCTATGTATGTATATATCTGTGTAGGTGTATCTTTGCCGCAGCTGTGAGCAATGGCTGAGGGATTTTCATTTGGTCCTTTGAAATTTGCTTACATGTGCGCATATTTTCACCTGCACGTCTTCCTTTTGAGCTAGGTGGATCGACAGAGAGTGGGAGAGAGAGGGGGCAGGGTGTGTGGAAAGGTTGTGGCAGGGGGAGGGGGAATGTCTTTCGGTTTTGCTGTCTGTGTGTATCTTGGTAACCCGCTACTGATTTACCTTACGTGTATAAATCTTTTATTCATGTAATCCATTTGAAAACACGTTTGCACATGATTGTGTTTATTTCGAAACGGAATCTTTCCCAGCAGGTATGTGCGTGTGTGTGTGTTTGTGTGTGTCTGCCTCTTTCTATGTGTGTGTGTGTGTCTGCTTGATTTGAAAAATCGTCAAAATTATATAAAGTGAATACAAATTTTATTTACTCAATTTTATTGCTTTTTACCGGGTTTGCCAGACAAACATTTGCTTCAATTTCTGATTACGCCTTCTGCTTTTATGAATTGTTTTAGTTTGTTTTTGGTTTCTAGTTTTTCCTCTTTTTTTTTTTTGCTCTTCTCACTTTAATTAATTGAGCACAATCTATCATTTGAGCACTGCACAAAACTAACAATAATCAAATATTCTAATCTATCAGGAAGCTAAATTGAAACCAGAATATTTGCTGACCATTTTAGCAACACAAATCAATTGAATTAAATTGCAGAATTTATGAGGAGCTTAAATCAAATGCATCCATTCTGGCATTAATAGCACACTTTTGACTACACAGAGAACAATTTGTATGGATTTCGGAAGCTCCTCTAGTGTTATGACTTGTACAAATTTATGTTTATGGTGTGTAAAATATCCTTCTACTGTATATATATATATATATATAAACATATATTTATGTTTTTTTTCCTTGTGGCAAGAAACTTTTTAGCTTGTCGCAGTTTTATTGAATAAGAGGTCATTAAATTTGGACGCTATCTTTTGCCAAGAAGTTTGTGGAAATGCTGCAGTCACTACGCTTGGAATTCTGAATGCACCTCCCCCCCTCTCCTGTTCAGTCCATCCCTCCACCCAGAGACTAGTTCCGCCACGCACTTGGGTTTTTACAAGACTTTTCCGCTTACGTTGCACAGGAAAACTTTACAACTACTTGGCGTTTACTACCTGACGTAGAGAGAAGGAGGGAGAGAGGAGAAAGGGACGCAGGAACGTTGTGAAAGTTATGATAAGCAGCAGCTCCAGTGCGCCAGCATCGCTGTCGCCTCCATCGTCATCATCTCTAGCTGCTTTGCCCAGGGCGCTCTCAGGCTTCAACGCGCATGAGGATATGGTAAAGCGGATCGGGAGGAGTGCACCTCGCTGGGCAGGTGGACAGACAAAGTCAAGCAGAAAACTTGAGTTGCCGCCGTGTGATGGTAGGTGGGTGGAGGTGTAGAAGAGCGGCACAGGAAGCGCTGAAAGGAAGCATATTTCATATAAAAGAAATCCCTTTTAAATAGAAAGTTTAATCCAAGCAAGAAAAACTTGTGCCAGGTGGACTCCCTCAGATGCTTGAATTTCGATAAGGCACAAGAACAAGCCCTCTACTCCAACCCCTCCCCCCACCCCTTACACCTTCCACCCCCTGGCATTTACAAATTGTTGCCATGCAAAAGTACAACGAGCCGTGAGCGCCGCCCAGCGAGGCATTAACTTAAAGCTGAAGCTTGCCACGTTTGTAGGGTTCATTTTGATCAACTAATTTACTGCTGTTGCCCTTTGCCGGAAATACAGTGGAGCTGCGTTAAAACAAACTATTAACTTGTCATAATTGAAATGAGAAATTTAATGAATTTCACTTGCAGAAATTTAGGTAAATAGAACTTTTTTGAAGATCTTACGAGCTTGATAGGGACAAGGCAGGTATATTAATGTACCTGGCTATCTGCGAGCTAATTATCAAAGAGTATAACAGAGGCATTTCATACAATGGATGGCTGATCGCAAACTGGACCAAAACAAATACAAAACACTGCAGAGAGCTGTGTAATCTGACTCGCACAAACTGCTTTGCAGTCGGAGCCATTGGCTAGTCGACACTCTTGCCAATAGACCCCAAGCTGCTTATAATGATTTGAGGAACCGAAAACTCCTCAGAACTTCTTTTGCCAGGAAGAGATTTAGTTCCCTGAGAAGCCCCTTTCTAACCGATCAATCGCAATTTGTAGAACTATGATCTAAATTCATAAACTCAACCAGCTGCACTCATTTTTGGGTGCAGTCTCCCACTAGTGTCAGGAAATTGAGCAGAATCCTTGCAAGGTGTAAATATAGATATATGCTGTAAGCTTCTCATTTCTTAGAGATTTTAATTATATTTAAACGACTTAAGTTGGACTTTATACATATATTTATTTACACAAAGAGCGGGTTATCAAAACATGTTCGCATATTTGCAGCTTACTTCTTCAGCAGGACTGGGGCAGCAGCGAGGGGTGCGCTGTAGGCCAGAGGAGCAGCAGCAGCATAACGACCAAAGGCAGCGGCAGCAACGGGGGCGGTGTAAGCGGCGGCATAGGGAGCGGCATAGGGAGCGGCATAGGGAGCAGCATAGGGAGCGGCATAGGGAGCAGAGTAGGCAGCAGCAACGGGAGCGGTATAAGCAGCAGCAGCCAGAGGAGCGGAGTAAGCAGCAGCCACAGGAGCAGCAATTGAAGCAGTGTAGGCAGCAGCAATCGGTGCAGTGTAGGCAGCGGGGAAGGCGGCGCTGTGGGCGACCTGGTTAGCGGTATAGCTGGACGCGTAGGGCGCCACATAGGCGGCGCTGCCAACAACAGCGGCTGCTGGTGCGGTGTAAGCCAAAGGAGCCACAATGCCAGGCTTGGCAGCAGCCACAGCCACAACAGCGAAGAAGCAGACGGCGAACTGCAAAGGGAGCAGCAGTTTTAACAATTGAAAGGCGGACTGCAACTGCAATTATTCCTTGGTCTACTTACGAAGTTCATGTTGGTGATTTTTTGGGTTGTTTTTTTTTGGTTGTTTGGGTTTGCTTGTAGACACTTGAAGCTGTGCGCTTTGTTTGATATTGAATTTGAGCAACTGGCGCGTATTTATAGTAATCGCCTCAAGCTTCAAGCTTGAGTCATCCAGGGCCCCGATTGAAGGTTGCACTTAAAAATGCAGCTGGCATATGGCTCACAATAGCTGACGGTTAACTTTGGGCCAGTTTTTTTTGTACAAGTATTGTATTATTGTTGTCGTCGCATGTTAAATTGCATTTGGCACGTGCTGCGGCCTTTCGTTTAATTTGATTAGGTCTTCTTTTCTTTTTTAATTTTTGCGCAAAAGCCAATTGAAATGCGGCTTCCTCGCTTGTGTCACAAAAGCCATAAACCAATTATAAAATACAAAACTTTGGAATACGCACAACACATACCCCAAAATGAAAGCGATTGAAAGCAGGGAGCCGGCCCCGACCAGGGTTGAAAAGCAATCAACAGCATATGATTGACTAAACTTGCAAATCTTTAAGAAAACATATTGCTTTAGTGTGGGAAATATATTATAAATATTTTATATTTCATATGCATTCCAACCAGAGAAAATGTGATGCTAGATTTAAATGTAGTATTAATCTAGAAGCCAAACCATAATCAAAATCTGTTGAGTGGCATTGGAAAGTTGGGACCATCTGCGACTTTTTAGAAAGGAATGCTTTTTATGACTCTCGAAAATGATCGCTTTACAATAGATAATAATAATAAATAAGTTGTGAGCGACAACATAATAATTAATTAAATTTATTAGCAAGCCAAGGAGGCAGGAAACTTTTGCTATTGGCATTTAGTGTTTGCAGCCCTGATTTGAATAGCTGCATGTAGAAATTGGCAAATCCTTCAGGCAGCTGCCGCATGGGGTTCTTCTCGGTTGCCACTTTATCATGAATAATTTGCTGAAACCACTTAAAGGCAGCAGTTGCCGTCAAATGTCGCACGCATTTCTAGACAAATTCAAAACAAAATTTATAATCGACTTGCACAGGGGACTGGATGGGGTGTGTGTATGTGTGTGTGTGTGTGTGTGTGCGTGTGTCACTCACGTTTTACGGCACTTGAACGACGCATTAACGCGCTCGCACAGCTGCTGCCACGCCCACCTAGCGAAACGCCTTTATTATGGCAATAAAGCGAGTTGCCGGGGGGGCAAGAAAGGAAGGAAATCAACAGAAAGTGGCGCATATTTTACACACAGAACTTCCACGGATGCCCCTGCCCCAAATATTTGAAGCGAGGTCTTTGAGTTCGAAGGCTGGAGAAAGTCTGGGAGAGAGAGAGAGAGAGAGAGGGAAGGAGTAGGGGTGAGCGAATCGAGGGAGCTGTGCTAGCTGAGGGAGTTGACGGAGTCGAGTTCTTGTTTAAGCGCTTTGTGAAACGCCATTTTTCTTTTGCGCCTTTTTTTGTGCGCACATTTCTTTTTTAATTACTCCCTGCCACTTAGCCATGTACCACAAAGGTGCAGGGGCTGGTTGCGGATTAGATTGCTTTGATATGTCGCCGGGACGAGTCACTTGAAATTTGCCGCGCCGCACTTGAAATTGTGATAGGGTTTTATTTCTAATTTTTTGTTGTGGTGTATGTTGCATCAAAGCTTTTAGACGAATTAACCAATATGTGGAATCATTTACTCAACTTGACAATGAAAGCGTCGCCTTAGCAAGTGTGAGTGTGAGTGTGGACATGCCACACACTTACTTCCCCCCCAAGTCGAGTGACAACACAAATATGTTGCTGCTGTGGCTTTTTGTTGCTGCTGCAAGTTGGGTAATTTTCAATAGCTGTGGCATCATGATTGTGCATTTAGTAGGCGGATAGGCGAGTGCCGCGTCCACACAGCCGGCTCAGACGAACATTTGAGACTTTCCGTATGCACAGTCACAAGGCAAACACTTGAGGCAGTCTCGAGAGGGGGAGAAGAGGCAAATCCTACAGCGACAACATCATCATCGACAGCAGCAGCAGCAACAGCAAGAAACTTTGTTTGGCTCTGTGGCATGTTGCAGACACTCACTTAAGCCTCCGACACCCTCTACACACACACACACACTCCCCCACGCAAATTTAACCCACTTCACAACTCCTTCCACCCACTCCACTCCCCCCCCAGCCAATGTTTGTCCGTCGCATTGCAAAATCGCGTAATTGGCATTTTTAAGCAAAATTCACGCTTCAACACTTTTTGGAGTGTGTGTTTGTGTGTGCATGTGTGTGTTGGGTTGTTTGGCATTGTAAACACCTTGTCCCAGTGCACACACACACACACACACACACGCACACTCGATACTTCTAATTAGTGCGATTTAAGCGCTGCATTTTCCACCCCCAAGAAACTTGTTTTTCCCTCTTCCTTTTCCTTTTATATTTTTGTTGTTGTGTAATTTTGCAATTTATGACATTTGTTAATTAATTTTCCATTGAATTGTGGCTGGAAGGAGCTGTTTATCAATAAGCCCTTAAGTACTTGTATTGCGTTGACATCGCAATCGATGCGGAATTAGCTGTGGCAGATTATATAAAAAGGATTGGCTGAAAGGGGTGGTTGGACTGGGTCGGGATCTGGGCGTTTTTATTAGCACAAACAAAAAAGTTAATCAAGCTGAGCGGGAAAAAAATCAATGAAACGCAGAAAATAATAATTGAAAAATTTATGCGTTGAATAATTTGAATACAATATGCAATTCAAATAACATAATTGCAGCTATTAAGACAACAAAAAATGCAGCAAATGGAATATATCCAAGGGAAACTTATGATTTTACAGAAATTAAAAATATTGAAAAAAATAATTAGGCAATAATTAATATTTAAGATACATTTTAAATACTTGAAATAAGTAAGTTGTTATTTCCAACCATTTTAAAAGTATTTTAATGCAAACTTACGTCTTGAATTGCATTTAATTGTTTATGAATTATTAAAGAAGTATTTAAGTTTGATAGTTTTCTACTATATATGAAACGATCTAACAAATTTCAACTGTTTAAGTCAAACAAAGTTCAAAAGAAACTTTCAATTAGTTTTTGGCTTTGCTGACTCATTGCACATATTTTGAGGTCGTCTCACTGCGAGCATTTCTTGTGAAATTGAAATTGTAGATAATCTTTAATAAAAATCAATTAACATGCAATTTGCAAGCATGATATCGTTAATCACACCTTCAAGTAGCAACATATGCTACCGTTTTCAGAGCGGTAATACCCCCGCAAAAAAAAAAAAAACATAAAAAATAAATAAGCCATTTAACTGCAGCTCAAGGTCATGGACAAATAGCCGAGGTAAAAGAAAAACAAAAGGTATCAAAAGTAACGGACGTGGCCAAGCACACAGCCAAGTCAAAGACATTAAGCCCATCACCATTGAATCGGAATCCGAATTCGAATTTCTGGCCAAGAATTGCGCATGCGCAACATGGACAACGTTGTCGTTGTCATCGCCAAGTCGTTGACTTTGCAACCGTTTGTTGCTGCGTGCCACGCATTCGTAAGTAGCTCGAAGACAGCACTGAAAAGTGTAAGTGTTGAGCGAGTTGGCTATAAAAGCGCAGCGTTGTCTTCACTTTGGCATCACAAATCAACTGGCCATTCACTAGCTGACAACCCAAACCCAAAAACCAAACCCAAATCAACATGTTCAACTACGTAAGTCGTCTAGGAATCTATCCGGAATATTCCAGCAAGCAGCTAACTATAATTTCTTTGATTCTTATTCTAGTTCGCTGTTTGCTTCTTCGCTGTTGTGGCTGTGGCTGCTGCCAAGCCTGGCATTGTGGCTCCTTTGGCTTACACCGCACCAGCAGCCGCTGTTGTTGGTAGTGCTGCATATGTGGCACCTTATGCCTCCAGCTATACCTCTCACCATATCGCTCACAGTGCCGCCTTCCCAGCTGCGTACACTGCACCGATTGCTGCTCCAGTTGCTGCTGCCTACACTGCACCGATTGCTGCTCCCTTTGCCGCCGCATACACCGCGCCATTTGCCGCTCCCTATGCCGCTCCCTACACCGCTGCCTACACCCGTTATGCCGCTGCTGCGCCGCTGGCCTACAGCGCTCCGTTTGCTGCCCCTTATGTGGCACGTCCCTTCGCCGCCGCCGCCCCCCTCCTGCTGAAGAAGTAAGAAGGTTGTGTGTGAATAATGCGCCATGTATTTAAGCCATGGGCATCTATTTTGCCTTACACATCCATTCCATTTTGTGATTTTGTTTACGACATAAAATAAAAGTTTAAGTTTCAATGAAATATTTTTGAGTTTTTGCTTTTTGTTTAATTTGGCCTTGTTTGGCATGCGCAGCGCTTCTTAGCGCAAATATTTCAGCTGCTTCATTAGCTTCTTTAATGAGCATATCAACTAGACTCCATTATAGCCTCAATTCAAGCCAATTGCTGGTCTGCATATCAATTAACAGTCTCCACGGTTGCCAAGTCCGCCTTCATACTTATATCTTTCGCATACATATATATATATTTGGCTATAATTTGCATTGATATCTTGATACCAGTATCTCTACTTGCATCTACCAGTATCTTATGCAAAGCAGGAAATTCCTTTCTAAAACTAATTGCTGAACAACTTGGTTAAAACTTAAAATATTTATAATCTACAATCCATTTTGCTATTTCTCTGTTCTGTGGATTAATTTTGCGCAGAGAATTTTCATTGATAAATGTTAATTTCAACTACAGACTTCAAATTCAATCAGCTTGAGATATTTAATAACTAAGAAATGCAAATCTATTTTACAATTTCTGTTTGTTTCCTTAAGATAAGATTTATCTAAGATGTATGCATTCCCAGAAGTTACCCCTTGTTTAATGAATTGAATGAACCTTCTGCACAAATTCCAGTCTAGGCAGCACTCTCACTCCTTTCTCCTCCCTCGTCCCTTTTGAATAACTACAAATGTATCTTATTTACCTGCAATAACCACAGCGACCGCAAGGCCCACAAAATATGAGACAGATGCCAAGCCACATTCCCCAAAATTTGATGCCACGTTTGCAACTACAACAAACGCACAAAAGCCAAGCCGCAGGCAGACATTGGAGATGGCAGTCATTGGAGAGACAGTAAATTAAAATTGACACCTGCTGATGCTGCTGAAGTTGATGTTGTTACTAATATTACAGTTACTGTCGCCGCTAATGAGGCCTGAAACCCAAATACGTCAACAGCGTACGTAATCCAACTACTGATGATGATTTAATGGTCTACGAGTGCTGTCCGTCTGCAGGCAGCTCAGATTCGCCCCAAATTACATAGGAATTCAATTCAGCCAGTTTTTGAGCTACTTGATAACTGATAAGCCTTGGTCCGCAGCGGGGTGCGGCAAGGAGGAGAAAAACTTTTGGCAATTATCGTTCTGCAAGAGCAGCAACAAGGACTGAACAAGTTGAACAGGGCCGAGCAAAAGTTTTTGGCTTTATTGTTGACTTTGTTAAATGTGGCTAAATGGCCGTAAATGACCAGCAGCAACAGGCAGCAGAAACATGTGTGTCTGTTTTGTGAAAGGGTTTCAAAAGTTAAAGCTGCTCAAATCCTTTGTGAATATTTAGATTTTCCTGCTGACTAGATTGGGCTTAGTCTTGTTTTTTTTTCTTTTCATTTGCAACCCTCAACTTTCATTATAAAAACTGACAACGCGTAAGAAACTTCTTGCGGTTACTTTGAGGCAGGTAGCTACGCAAAAAGACGCATTGAAATGTAAACATAAGTAGGAGAAGCTTTTTGCCACAACAGACACAACAACAGCAGCAGCAACAGCAACAGCCACAACAACAAAATACCTCATTACAACAGCAGAAAAGGGATGCTCGTTGGATCCCTCATCCGTATCCGTTGGAATTATGCGGCATTGTCTAAAAATGAGTTTTCGTTTGCTTGTTGCTATTTTTACGTTTCATCGAACAAAAGCAAAGTACCTTGCAATGGCAGCAACATCAACAGCAACGACAGCAGCACCATCAACCACAACAACAACAACAAAAACAGCAACAATGGGGCTAAAAGCTGGCAAACATAAAGCATTAAGCTCACCAGCGCACCAAAGAAAGCAGATGAAGAAGCAGCAGCAGCAGCAGCAGCAGCAAGTCGAAAAAGACAAGCCACAACCACTCAGAGTCATGAGTCTGGGCATGATGACAGCAGGGGGGGTGTGGTTGCTATGAGGACGTGCGAGGGGGCAGCTTAACGAATCGGGGAATACCCCGAACCCATCCAGATGCAACCGTTACGCGCCAGCATTACAGTGCAACGTGTATGTCGGGTGTGCGCAATGCGATTGCACTTGGTGCAGGCGACAAATGTGTCGATTGAGAAATAGAAAAAGGAAGAAGAAGATAGAAAAAGATGTAGAGGGAGAGACGAAGGAGAAGAAGGAGAAAGAGGGAAAGGAAAAAAAGTGGGAAAATGGAGAGAGAGAGAGAGAGAGAGAGTGTTGGAGAAGAAGAAAGAGAAAGACAGAGAGTTGAACACGAGAGGAGAGAGAGGGAGGAAGACGGAGAAAGAGAGTTATAGATATAAAGAGTGTGTGATTAAATGTCTCAATGTCTGTTAAGTTATTAATTGAGTAAATAGCTGAGCTTATGTTATAGATTCAGTAAAACAGAGGTTAAGAGAGTTAGCAAAAGTCAGCACAATAATTCCCATAATTCTCTACACTCGTATAAGCAATCGACTCATCCATCAATCATAGTCGTCCATCAAACTATTATTATTATTAATATGGACTGAACGCAGTGCTTAAATCTTTTGTGGCAAACTGTAGGATTTAGAAGTCAACTTCTATTTGTTTTTGTTTTTAAAATAAATAACTTTACTTGACAAGTATACACCTAATAAACATGTAACTCATATGAAGTTTAGTCGCCTGGCAATCATAATAACCAGAAATAAATGCGACTGCAGTTCGCCGTTTGTAGTTGAGCGAGTCTGGATTTGCTTTACACCTGCAACATCCCTATCAGCACTACCACTACCCCTGCCATCTATCAGCCCTGCTGCTGGCAGTCGCATTAAGTGAAGCACGCGGCATGTTGGCTCAAAATGAAGTGCTGACAACGCAATGTTGCCGCTGCTGCTGATGTTGCTGCTGTAGCTGCTGTCGTTGCTGCTATTGTTGCTGTTGGCACATCAGATAGTGCGAATGGCGCAAGTATTGCCCAAGCCCAGACTGCTGCTAAGCGTCTTACGGTCTTAGAGCCAAACCACATACACATACGCACACACACACACCCATACGCATACTGAGGTAAAAGACAAAAGAATGTGGCAAGTGTGCGTGCATGTATGTGTGTGTGTGTGATTGGTGCGTCGCCTCGCTGCGGTTGCCACTTCACTGACTACGTTCTGGAGATGAAGCCGAAAGCTGTGAGCTGCTACACTCAGAAAAAATAAGACCCTATTTCAAATATTGTATTGTATATAAATTAAACAAATTATAATCCATAATGCATTTGTGTATGTGATATCTGAAAATACTAATCTTTATCAATAATGCAAGTATATTCCTAACATAAGAAAAAAAACACTGAAAATTAAACATATTTTTTAATATTCTTAACAGGTGAGTTACCCTTGGCGCTGAAGGTATATATAAATTGTAAAAATTCAGGGCAATCTTTATTCTGAGTGCAGCTGGCAGAACTCATGGTTTCTGGCTGTTTAATTTACGCGCTGCTATTATTTTAATCTTTTGCGCTACAACAGCGTGAAATGACTTTCACCTGGCCTTTGGGCTTGTGACTGGAGAGGGAGAGCGGGGATTGGGGTTGGGGTCTTTGAGTCAGCGATGCCTCATCTGCAGACGCGTCAACTTCATCTTGTGCTTGCGGCAACAAAAGCATTTAGCACACGATTCTTTTCATTTTTTTCCTGTTGCCAAGGTGAGGTCCTGCTGACAGGAAGCTCTTTGTTGTTGTTGTTGCTTTTATCTTTCGCAGTTTTGGCCTTGTGGCTTGCAGGATATGTCGCCCCATCTGTCCATAAATGTGTGCTTCACATACGTATATAAATTCCTGAGTATAGTCTCTCTAGCACCTTGTGCTTTTATTGTTTTATGTGGCTGTTGTCCGTTGCGCTTGCTTCCTTCCATCTCCATCATTCAGTTTGCAAAATAAACGAGCTCTTCTCATATCGTACATCATCGCGTGCTTTGGCGCCTTTCAACGCTGCAAAATCTTTAGCAATCATCCAGCAATTTTGTACTCAAAAAAAAAATAAAAAATAGCAACAGCAGAGAGTGGTAGGGGAGTAGTGCGGCAAACACTAGTCATTGCTAATGCCTCAAATTATTTTCATTTCTTGCCAGGCGCTTGTCTGCCCCGAGCTTGTCAAGACATCAGCCAGGCTACTGCTTCGGGTTCTATCTCCTTCTCTCTCAGTTTCCCTCTCTATCTGTTTTTACTGCACTGCCACTCAGAGCGCTTAGTCTCCCCTCTAGTCCCTCCCCCACGCTTCCCAGCTAGCTTTTGCTTCTTGCTTGCTCTATGTGAACATTACAATATTTTAAGAGATTTACTGACCCAACAGCGTACAGCAGCTACAGCTGTACTCGCTGCTGACTGCTAGCAAAGTGCAAAACGCTGTAAAATATTACGTATACGCAGCGGACAGAAGGCACCTGGAGAAAAGTCGGATTTGCAACGCCAAGTTAAACATTTGTTTGGATTTAACAATAGTTGCAGTCGGACACGGTAAATAAAGGAAACCAAATATTTGGCTTATAATTCAAAATGATAAATATGCATTTTACAAATGATATTAATCTTTTACTTACTCGTGCTCGCTGAGCAATTACATTGCTTGACTTCTACTCCTTTTGATCTATACAAAAATGAAGAATGAAGTCTAAAGACTGTATTTTTAATTTTTTGATTTTGTCAAGCAATATTCGATTTTTTGTGCCACTTCTATAATGACCATTGTAAGACATATAATAAAGAATAGAATAAAGAATATTCCTTCAAATTTTCTTTGTATAAATAATCAAATATAAATTTTTAAAAATCGAAAGCTTAATATGCATTGAGAAATGTTAACAAAATAAATGATGATAAAAACAAATTTTCTAGTAAATTAAAAATTATTTAAGCTTCTTGTCTTGTTTTCTTTTTCCGTCTAACGCCCAAGTTAGATTTTCCTAGAGTTTGCTGTACATTAAGCAGTGCCGATCGCCTCGTGACCAGTTGCTATATATATTCTGAGCGCTAATCTAATTGCAAATATGCTCAACCGTGGCTGCCTTAAAATGCAGAGGATTTGCTTTAAAATACATACCAAACATTGCTCATGCTCAGCTCAAGGGACAAAGGGCAGCAAATGTGGCAAAGGGGCGGTGTTTCGCTGTAGCTGCTGCTTAAGCCCCAAAAATAAATAGAATTTTTAAGTAAATTGAAGCAGCGAAACTTATTTGCAGCGTCCAACAGAGTCGGGATGGCAATCTACACTTTTATACCAAACTTGGCCAACATAACTCACAGCAAAACAGCCAAAGTGGCAGGAGGTACGAGGAGCGGGAAGAAGACGCCAGTCACAAGGCACAAGACACAAGACATGGCCATAGCGCAAGCAACTTGTAGAAAAGCCACACACACAGTGGCTTTGGTGGCACTTTTTACATTCTACACGAAGGCGACGCGTCGCCCCAGCAACAAATGGTGCACATTACAAGTGCCCCAAAGCTACTTACACAGCCAGCAGCCAGCAGCCAGTGTGGCAACACATATTTTATTATCAGCCAGAAAGGATGTGCGGTGTGTCTTTGTGTGTGTGTTTGTGTGTGTATGGGGTATGAGTGGGTGTGTTGCACGCTGCCTGTCTGTGCAACAAGGCGCAAAACTTAAGCGGCGAAGACAAATTTTTATTGCCACAAGCCCAAGTCGTTTTCGATTATTGACTGCAAGCAAACTGTTGCACACACACACGCGAACACCACATACACACACACACACATACAGCACAAGGCAACGAGTGCTGCCAACTGTCGATTGCCAAAAAAGAAGAAAAAATGAGACACAACACAAATAATTTGAGGGCTTAGAAAATGGAACTCATTTTTAAAATACTCTTTGAACAACTTACAAATAAGTAAAATGAAATAAAAATGTCTACAAATTTGAGTAGGTGCTTTTTACAGCTTAATTTCCCACAATCATAACGTAAATGTTCAACAAATATGTTGCAATTCTGTTCAAATACTATTTAGCTGGTCTCATAAGAATCATTAACATATCAACAAAAAAAGGCTAAAATGGCATCACTGGTTGGCAAGTGCTTGAGGCAGTCAGCCAGAAGCCAGCCAGCTCCTTCTCTGCCTGTGGCTTTGTCTGTCGTGTTCGCTCATTTGAGTCACATTTTATTATTTTCGTGCATTTATCGTGTGGCTCGCCTGACATTTTATTTTATTAGAGTGACATTTCAATTGATCGAACCTCTCTTTCCTCTCTCTCTCTCTCACTTCTTCCGCACTTCTCTTAAATCGTTTCCTGTTAAATTTGCATTCACAGCGAACGCAGTCAAATTTACCTTTACGTTCTGGCAACGCCAACAGATCAACTTACTAATCTGGCAACACCTCAATTAAGTTTACTTAGAAAATGAAAAGTAGGCGTTGTTTTTTATTGTCAACTGTCAATTGGCAAATGATTTGCCGTTTTTCACTTTTCTTACTATTCTCATAAGCTCGTCGCGTACAGGCAATTATTTCTACATTCTTTTAATTCAATCGTTTTTAGCTTTTTACTTTTTGGTAAAAAAATAAAACTGTTTTCACAGACCAAAAAAATTTGTAAAAAAAACAACAAAATATTGCATAAATATTGAAAATAAGAAAAAAATGGGCTTCGATAATTACAAGGGCACCGAGGTAGCCGAATCCGGCCAGGAGACTTATACGGTTGACAAGCAATTCTCCGCCATCGACGAGGAACTGCAACCATCGCTGAATAGTGTTTTGAGCTCCATTGACTATGAGCTGTGCGAGAAGCATCCGCTGGAGCACACTTGGACACTGTGGCATTGGCAGAGCGATCGCAAAAAGTGCTGGGAGGAAATGCTCAGCAATGTGACCAGTTTCAATACCGTCGAGGATTTCTTTAGGTGAGAAAACCCAAAAAGTATTAATAAGATTGGCAATTGATGCAATCTCTTTTTGTTTTTGCAGTGTTCACTATTTTATTAAGCCACCATCGGATCTAAAGGCTTTCAATGACTATATGGTCTTCAAACATGACATACGGTTGGTTTCTAGTTTCTATAGAATTTTAATATATTAAATTTCTTATTGGTTATTGTTCCGCATAGACCCATGTGGGAGGATGTCAAGAATAGAAAAGGCGGCCGTTGGATTTTTTTCTTGAACAGAGAGTCCAAAGAGCTGGTGGACAATATGTGGCATGATTTGGTAATTGAATGTGCATTACACTATGGTATATATATAAATATATATATATATATCTGTATGTTTGTGTTATACACTTTATAGCTGTTGTGCACACTTGGCGAGAGCTTTGAGTACCCCTTTCAAATCTGTGGCGTTGTCGTCAATGTGCGCAACAAGGCCGCCAAAATATGTGAGTATTGTCAATTGCTTATATTATAATAATTTTGCTATCTTTTTTTGAAAAGCTGGCAGTGCTATTAGTTAATGAAAGTAGTGCAAAATTGCAACCAGTTGGATTTAAGCTGGCAGGCCAATAGATCAAGGCTTTGTTATTTAGTTATTAAAAACTTTGCTTATTCGAAGCAAGTATGTCTATTATTGAGCACATTTGGTCAAGCAATGATCAATGATTTGACAATCTGGCATCTTCCCATATTAATAAAACCACCTTCGCTTACAGCACTGTGGACCAAGGACTCGCTCAATCAGCACGCCATTCTGGCAATTGGACGCAAAATCAAGGAGGTGCTGCAGCTGTGCGAGGGACAATTGCAATATCAGGTGCACTCGGATGCAATGATCCACACTGGACCCAATTGCAATGCCTTGTACAAATTGTAAACACAAAATCATAACTAAACTTAAGCACTCGAGAACCTCTGACTGAGTGGGGTGTAGAGATGAGCACATGGGGACCTGGACAGACACAGACTTCCTCTATAAAATGTATAACATGTAACTGTAACTGTAACTGTAACTGTAACACAAATAAAGCATTGCATAAAAGCAGCTAGTTGTCAGTCGGCCGCCTTTCGGCCATAAAAGTCGGCACGTCCTTAGACAAGGACCAGGACCAGGAACAGGACTAGCATGTAAGTACACTGTACATCAACCTCTGCTCTTTTGTGTTCTCTTGTCCCATCTTGCCACTCACTTTATTGCGATTATCCTTTGCGCCATAATTTTGGCCATTTTTGCTGTCTTGTCGCGTCGTGTGTGCGCTTTTGTCCTTCATCGCCCCCATGCTGGCTGTGTGGGCGTGGGCGTGGGCGTCCTTTGTGCCATGCATAGCAAATTGTAAGCAATTTATGAAAATATGTTGAACACGCCCCGTTCCCCTTGGGCGCCAGGACACGGCCACAAACGCACATACGCAACGTATTCTACGTAAATGCATAAGTATATGATGTGATTGTTGTAATTTGTTAGGATTTGGCTTTTTATTGTTTTATTGAATTATGAAGTGGCATTCGCCAAATGACACGAACGTGATACACTAGCCAGCACACCTACACACACTCAGACACGGGCACTCGCACGCCTGCACACAGTGGGTGCCAACACGTATCCTTAACGACTCCTGTATGCTTTTTAATATGAGTGGCAAATTCCTCTTGCGTGAAAGCGAAGAATGCATGCAGTTTTCACACTCGAACAAAAACCTAATGCTATATGCAAGTACAAGCGACTTTAAGTGCAAGAAGACTTCATTTAGAATTTTGGAAACTTCAAAGTCTAACTTGAATGTTAGCTAAAAAAGTAAGTAAAGAAATATAGATCTAGACTAAGTACAAAAAAACACATTATTATAAGTCCAATCAATTTGTATCACAAGATTTCTTGCACTTTCAAGCTATGCCATCATCATCTCATCTCTTTTTTTGTGCAGTGTACGCGCATTGATATGCGCAGGTGACACTGGACACGGGACGTGCAACAAGAGTGCCTGATGTTGCAGCAGCTACTGGCTATTTTTGTTGCTGTTGTTATTGTTGTTGTTAATATGGTAAGTCAAATAGTTTGGCTTCGAGTTGTGCGCTTTAAGCACATAGCCGAGACAAATAAAAGTTAACTGCTGCCCGGCAGCTGCGGCAAACTTCCGCTTCCGGTTTTGGCTTTGCAGATAAGCAAACTAATGTTGTAGTTTATATTAAATGCAACGCAAGCTTAATTGAAAAAGCGCTGAGCTTACAATGAAGGGGCAAAGTAAAAAAAAACACATTTATCCAGCTGCTGCTGCTGCTGCTGCTGCTTTAAGAATTTCCCGTTCTCATTGCTGTTGCTGTTTTAATTAAACAAAAAGCGTAAAATGTTTGACCATTTTCCAGCTGCTGCTCCTTCCAGCTGGGTTTTCAATTCAGTTTTGCTATTTTGTTTGGCCAGTCACTTGTCTTTGCCACGTAAATTTTCTTTGCCAACAAGCACGAAATTGTTTGTCCTGTGTGTCCTGGGTGCTCCTCCCAGTTCAACCCATACTGTCCATCTCCCCTGCTTGGGTTACAAAACAAATTAATTGTCTGTCGCTGCTTTCATTTTTTTATTTATTTTTTTTTTGCTATTTCACATAAACATTTTCATCCTTGCCCCGCCTCTGGTTGCGGGTGCCTGTGACGCGTCTGTGCAACTTTCAGTGCTCCGTTTGCTCTGTAAATTGCTGCCACATTTGTTGGTCTTGTCGCTTTTTATTTGCGCTATCTTTTCTCTTGTCTACTGTCGCTCCTCTCACTCAAATTTCACTTGGCTTCCGTTTAGCTCATTTGCTGCTTTACGTTTCCATCCCCCCTCCAATTCCACAGCCTCCACTGCTCTCCACACTTTTCGTCATAATTCAAATGTAATTTCATTGCCATCACCAGCTCCCCGGACGCTCATAATTATTTTTTGATTAAAGATGCGCCCCACTTCTTCCTGCTCCTGGTGATGGTCCTGGTCGGGCTGTCCATCAGCCAACCATTTGGGGAGCCCTTTCTTATCCCCCAAATGCCTTTAGTAACTGTTGGCAGCCGTGGCATAAATGGACAGCATCCTTGAGGTCGCTGCGAATTCTTGGGGAAAATGACTTCTATGTTTTGATAAGAAATTATTTGTTTTGCGGATCTTACACAGAGAACAAAAATATATTCCTAAAACATCAGCTTATATACTTTTTTTAGTATTAAATATTAAATTGATTACGACATATGCTTAATAGCTTTATATAAAACCAAACTCTGATTATCTTTGGTCTAGTTTTCATATATGTATTTAATTTGTTTTGCCTGAAATAAAAATCTATTTTTTTGATAATATTTTATACGTTCATTCAGTCTGAAATTCGTCTATTCAATGTGTGCATTTATATTTTTCAAATTGTGTTTGCAAAATTGAATTGAGCATTTTACATTTTACACATTGCTCGATTTGAGCTTCAGTTCAAAAGGCTCATTGAATTCAATTTCTCGTTTATTAAGCTACTATTGCCAATGAACCCTGAACTCTTAGATTTCATTAAGGAATTTTGCCTGCTGTTCAAATGATTCTTTTCTGAGTTTTACAGTTTAATATTTATATTTTTACTTTAATGATTTTGTCCTTTTGGCTGCTGCTGCTTGCCAAATAAATTTGCATAAGCACTGTCAAATATGCCATAGGTTATTTATGAGCATTCGTTGTACATCGATACATAATAAATAAGAGTCGATATATGATATACATATATATATATACATATATGTATATACGAGAAACCTTAAACGCTTGAGTTTTGTGCAGATTGCTTCTGGAAATGCAATTAAAATAACGAGAGATGTCGCAATGCAATAATAATTTCTCGGTTGACAATAAAATTGACAAGCAGGTCGACAAATTAACACGTTCACATCGTTATCATGTTTCAATATTATATATATATATAGAATCGATTGGAAAATTCGCAGCTTCAATATGCAATTATAATCATTTGATTTGTATAAGGTTTGACTTGGGTGCGATGCAACGGCTGTAATTAAATTTATTACAATGCACGAGGTATAAATATGGTTATGGAATCAACAAACCAATAAAACAGAGGTAACACTGATATCTTAGCCACACCGTAGATTAAATACCCTTGCTGGCTGAATTAAGAGTCTATTTTGTGTTTAATCTCGAAGTCAAATCATAATCGAAAAAGTATTGTTTTTGAAAATGAACTCAGTTTTGACAAATATATTGCATTGGATAATTTTGGTACTTCTGGAATCATTTGACCCCCGCCTAGAAGCAATTGTCAGAGATATAATTTTAAATATATGAATTGAGTTGGAATCGCGTTGCTAACTTTGAATACAGCATTATTCTAGAGGTCGAACTATAATCAGAAATGAAAGGTTTTGGAAAATTGACAAAGTTATGACAAGAATTTATCAATCCACCATTCATTTCTATGGTCGCTGTATGATATGCCGATCAACTTGGAATAGATGTATATACTTTATGAAGTCGAATATGTCGCCCTCAACGCGTTACCCGCCAAATGACAAAAGCATATGGCTATAAAATGTCGGGGGAAGCAAGTATCATTTTTGAAAACATAAATACAATTGCCCATAATAACGACAATTGTTGTTGCTGCCAGCGCTCATTTGCATTTCCAAATAAAAACAACATTAACAGAAAAGGCAAAAAAAAAAAAAAATAAACAAACTAGTTAAAAGTTGACAACAATGAAATGTCAAAATGCTTGCAGCGAAAAAACTTTCAAGCCCAGTGACTCGGCACAACAACAATATACACAGATATATATGTATATGTATATATATATATATACATGTACATCTCTATATCTCTCCAACTTAAACCCTTTTGTGTGTGTGTGTATTTAATGCGCCCACGCCCAGCTGACTCCGGCTACCTTTTTGCCCGTTTTTTTGTTGTTTTGTTTTTTGCCAACAATAAAAGCAAATTTTTCTAAAATTTCATGTCACCCCTCGAGCGTGGTTGAGGGTGTGGGGGACGTGAGAAGTAAGGGAACCCATGCCATTTGCAATTTAACTTTTTGCCAGCAAAAGGATGGGCATGGAAAACAAGGACACGTAGCCCAAGCAGAGCTTTAGTTTTTAGTTGGCTTTTATTAACTTTTGTCTGGGTAACTGTGTGTGAGTGTGCTTAGGTCTATATATATATATATATATTTATTTGTGTGTGTGTGTGTGCGTTCAGTCAGTTCCACTTAGTTTTGGGCATAAAAGTTACGCTATTACTGAGATTTGAGACGTTTGCCTGTCCCTCGACAAAAACGACTGGCCAATTTACAGTTAACTCAAATTTCTTTAACAACCAACCATTATCTACCTAGGGGGTGCAGAGGGTGCTTAGGGTAAGGGATGTGTGAGTGTGGGGGGAGGGGGGTGGTTTGTGCAGCCCTACGGGTGCGACTGCATAAAGCTGAAGCCCCACTTCATGCACAATTTAACTTGGAGTCGAGTTTTGTGTTACGTTTTTCTGTTTTTTAAATGCTGCGGTGACTCTTACGACGCGATTCGTCCGCCTCCTTTGCATGAGGCGAAGCAGCCCTTTGTGGCTGCTCCTCTACTTGGGGGTCATCTTCTTGAAGCTGTCCTCTGTCAGCAGCACGGCTAGTTCGGCCTTCGTCCAATTCCAGATGCTCATGCTCTTCATCCTCCTCCTCTTCCGCATCGTGCCACTCTTCCTCATCCTCCCACTCTTCATCACCCTCCTCATTGACGTCCTCCGGCTCCTCTGTCCGCAGCATTTTTAGCTCATCCTTTCTCTCAGCAATTGCTTCGTAGTCGTCGTCCTCGTCCATTTCCTCCAGTTCCAAATACACAAGCTCCTCCTCCTCCTCTTCCTCATCCTCCCACTCTTCGTCATCCTCCCACTCTTCGTCATACTCCCACTCTTCGTCATACTCCTCATCGACGTCCTCGAGCTTCTCTGTCAGCAGCATCTTTAGCTCATCCTTTCCCTCAGCAATTGCTTCGTAGTCGTCGTCCTCGTCCATTTCCTCCAATTCCAAATACACAAGCTCCTCCTCCTCCTCTTCCTCATCCTCCCACTCTTCATCATCCTCCCAATCCTCATCATCCTCCTCATTGACGTCCACGAGCTCCTCTGTTAGCAGCATCATTAGCTCATCCTTTCCCTCAGCAATTGCTTCGTAGTCGTCCTCGTCCATTTCCTCCAATTCCAAATACTCGTGCTCCTCCTCCACCTCCACCTCTACCAGTTCCTTCTCCACCTCCTTAGTCTGCTCCTCCTCTTCTTCCTTCTTCTGTTCCAGCTGATAGTCTAAACGAAAGATTTCGTCCATCAGCAACCGGCATTTCTGTTTGACATTCTTGCTCCTGTTGAGTGTTTTAAAGATCTCTTTGCCGATCATCTGATGTTCGAGCAGCTTCGATATTGAAGCCAGCTGGGATTGCGGCTTAAACAGCTCAACATAATTGTAAAAGAGCATGTGACCCAAAGTCTGTGAAAGAATACAGAAGGTGGATAAATAAGATTAATGAATATTAATTAGAGATATGCAATCCCTCACCTTTATTATCAGATCCCCAGACGGCAACCGCTTGTAGCTCTTGCCACAATCTACTGTGGTCATGAAGAAGCAGAGCTTAACAAAAAAGGGCGTGGCAAATGAGAAGCAGCGCTGTGCGTACAGCGAGCGAAAGAGAAGCAGCATCGCATTATGATTGCGATAATGGACACGATCGTCTCTCGTGCGCCAGTGTGGCAAAACGACAGCCCAGTCGAAGGCGCTGTTGCTGCTGCCATAGTGGGGCACTCCGTAGGCCAACCACTTGCTGCTGATGGGCGCATCGAAATACGCTGGCAACGGCATCTCAGCGCCATCAAACTCAATGGCCAAGATGAAATCGATGCGGATGCCCCGATCAACTGCCCCCCGATCCCTCGCGTACACCTGATGCACAAAGGGAGCGCCATTGTACATAAGTGCATTATATTCGACATCATAAACATCATCCCAGATGCCAACGTGAATGCGCATCGAATCGATGGTATTCTTTAGATCACGCTCGAGGCGACAGTTGATGTGTTTCGCATTTAGCGCATTGCCAAAGAAAAAAGGATGTCCACAGTAGTTATTCGAATTCGATTTGGTTAATTGCACTATGCGCTCGGAGGCATGGAATCTGGTCTGCAGCGAGAAGGGCAATCGTATGGGCAAAAATATCTCAAATTGGTGGGGCATTTCCAGATTAATCTGATGCACCAAAGAGGCTGTGAATTGGGAGAGAATAGTAAGATGTAACTTAATAAGCAGTTGCAACTTTTGCTTACCACATTTTGGCAACTGTTCGAGATAATCGTGGAACTCGGATTGATTGCGTTTCAAAAGTAATCGTATGCTATCGGTCAACAGATTGGCTTCGTGGTTGAATCGATGCAATTCTTGCAGGTCGCTAGAGTATTGGAGCGTTACCTTTTCCAAGGCATCCATAAAACCATTTAAGAACATTTTGCTTATACAAATTTCGTTGATTTTTCCACAAGGCAACAACACATTAAAGTTCAGTGTTGCAAAGTGTCATATTTCAAAGCATTCAAATTGGCGTTACCAGCACTAAGTCTAACTGGCAGCTGCCTGTTGTAATGAATTATTATTAATATTTTGCGACTGCGTGGCATCTCTTTCGTATTTTCATCTGTTGATCGTTTATCGATATCGTAAATGTTATTTATACATATTCGATAGGCTGCTACACTTTTTTCAGATAAAAGCTCAGCTTTGCAGGAAATTGACACTGGCGGCCAGATCGCAAAGTGTGCATTGATAACGGATCAAGGCAACTGGCAGAAAATGAATGAAATTCGAATAGCATCCATTTTACTACGAATTTTACTACGTTTTGCGGGTTGCCTGAACCCTCCCACCCTCTCCATCCCTCTCCTACACACATACACATGTGGCTTCTGCGCAGTGGAGCACAGCATCCACAGTTAAAGTCCATGGCGCCGATGGCAACTGGCAGCGAAGGCATCTCCTTGGCTTATGGACAGCGCAATGTGAATTCAGTTGCTGTTTGACGTTCCTCGCGTGCGGTTGTGCCTGGCTCCCTGCACTCTACACACTAGATAGAGTGGGATAGACAGAGATAGAGAGAGAGAGGGAGAGTGAGAGACAGAGAGCGGGACTCACTCCCACACACTGAAACAAACGGTAGCTTGAGTGTCGATGTGTGTGTGTGTGTTTAAAGAGAGACAAAGCTTTAACATCAACAAACAGAAGAGAGCGGCGCCGACGCTGTCGCATTTGATGTTTGTGTACGAAAGAGCGTGCAAGGCAGTAAAGTGCAATAGCAAGGAAAAATGCACCAGGCAACAGCAAGAACAACAACAACACAGAAGCAGCGGCAACGTGCACGCTATGTAAATAACAGTTATGTGTACAGATATATATGCATGCACCTTATGTGTGTGTGTGCTGTGAGTTTGTGTTTGTATTGGTGTAGTATCTACTACGAGAAACTGCAGTGTGTGTAAAACAACGAACGCCGGCAACCAGGCAACAACAACAGTAACAAAAACAACAAGAATTATAATAACAACAACAACGGGCAACATTTTCGCTGATAAAGTTGTGTTGTCTAATGAAAGGTGCTAGGCCAGACTCCCATCCCACCCCTTCCACTCCACGCTTTCGCGTTGCATGCTCGCAAATTGAAAATAAATTGAATTGCAACAACGTGCAAAAATCAAGCTAAGCTAGAACAACGACAACAACAACAGCAACTTGACTTTCTTTTTATTCCGTGTTCTGCTCGCTGCTGCTCTGTATCTGTTTTTGTGTGTGTGTTGGTAAACGTGCAAAAGTGTTTTTGAGTAAATTGCATGCAAATTTCGTTTAATTTGATGGCAACTTAAGACTAAAAAAATCAAATATTGCAGCGCATTTTTTATTTTACATGTCTCAAGTGAACTCTGAACGTTGCCGCATGTTGCACGCTGTAAGCCCAGTACTATCGGAAGTGTTGTGCATAGTGACTAGATGATTATAAAACTGAATTTCAAGCAAATATAATAATCGGAAAGAAAATAATTTGCTTTCCACTAGTTGAATGCTGCGAATTGAAGTTGAAGTTGTATTTTCATATTTCAAAATAAATACTTTTGAAGGGCAGGTATTTTTATGCTAATTGAGCTACGGAAAGAGGTGTTATATATTTTATTTATGTATTTATATATTTTCTTTAATAAAATATATATATTTAATATTATAAATTAATGACTTAGTCAGAACTTTTTACTTGGTGGTTTATATCTCTGAAGTAGGCTTGTGTTTGAGAAGTGCTTTCAATTTGTAAATAATTTCGAGAGATTTTTGAAGAATCCCTTGAATAAATCAAGTTATTCTATTTTACTCCACTTTAAGTGGGTTCAAGGGTGATGGCATTTTGTTTTAGTCAACATTTTCTAGGCAAAAGGTTAAGGCACAACTTGGCTTTAACTTTTTTTTCCACTAATTTTTAATGTTCCAGGTTCAAGCCGTCGATTCTTTTATTTAATGGATATTTGAATAATATTCTTTTTGACAATTCTTATAAATATATTGTTAGATATGCCAAAAGACTAATCTAAGCGACCTAAGCTGGCTTTCTATGGCCATTTATAGCACAATCTGCTTTATTCAACATTTTCCCTCAGGTATTTGTTGCTTAGCACTTCAAAATTGTGCCCTCTGCCATTTAAATGAAAACATTTTAAGTATGCTTTAAGTAAGCATGGCTTGACTCTTTTAGCTACCCTAGGAGAAGGGGTACACGTCTCATCAATAAAGCATATGCTGCTAGCATATGTAATCCTTGGCACTCTTATTGTTCAAAGTCTCCCCTCCGCCTACCACTTCTGCGTGAGTTGCCCATTAAGTGCCTGTGCCGCGCCCTCCGCCCACTGCTCGCAATCCTTTCCGAGTGCTGGCAAATTGGAAGACACGTTTAGCGACGCTTTCACGTAGTCGTCGCAGTTGCTGCCTCTGCCTCTGATTCTGTTGCTGCTGCTGCTGCTGCCTTTGCTGTTTTCAACCTTTTGCCGTAATTGCCGTTTAATTGTTTGACATTTTACCTTCTGTGCTGTGCTACTCTCCCTCGCTCTCTCTCTCTCTGTCTCTCGATCTATCACTCTCCCTGTCCCTTGTTTTATTATTATATAATACGCTTTTCACATTGTGCATAGAATTTGAAATTTTCTTTCATTATGCTCGGGCAGCTGACGCTTTTGCCGAGCAATTAGAACCCAAACACACCAAGTGACTTATTTACTGCATCATTTTGACTTGGGACTCTTTTTGTTTTGTTTTCTTATTTTTTTTTTTGTTTCTTTGGTGACTGCTTTTGTTTTTCAAGCACATTTTGAGACTGCAGCAGCTTAAGCTTAACGCAGCACATAAATAATGCTTATACCGGCCGGCAACAGCTACCAGAGTGTGTGTGTAAGTGTGTAAGTGTGTGTGTATGTGAGAGAGAGAGAGTGCAAATTAACGTTGCACATCGCCTATTGATTTTATGAACGAAGCTTGCTGCAGCAGCTGCAAAACTATTTTGGACATTGCCGCCATGACAAACTATAAATCTGTCTGCCGGCATATACAACACACACACACACACAATATATATATCTACTATATACGTGCTGCACACACACACACACACTATATTTATCGATTGGATGCTGCTGCTGTTGCTGCTGTTGCTGTTGCTGATGTGTAGTAGTAAAAATCGCTCGTATTTCATGCGGAAGTGACCATGCACAGACTAGCACACACACACACTAACACACACACAAACGCACACACACACTATGCACACTTACGCATACACAAAATGGCCGCCCATGTGCGTAGTAGTAGTAGTTGTAGTTGTAGTTGCTGTTGCTGTTGTTGTTGTCTTCTCGTAGTAATCGTAGCACAGCCGGCAACGCCACGATAAATGGTTTGGTTTATTTAAATTTTTGCTGCCTGCCTCGTGTCTCGTGCCGCATGCGGCTTACGTGCAGCAGTTAACAGTTACTACTACCATATATAAGCATCATTTTCTTTTTTTTTGTTCTTTTTTCGGCTGGACAACAGCTGCAATGGCTCGTATTGCGTATACGTAATTTTCGTATTTACACTGCGAGAAAAAGAGACTGTGCTGGGGTCGAAGATTATAAATGTTATTGTAAATACAAATACTCAGTAGAAGAACATTTTGGCCACTTGTATATCTGTCAATCATTCTCGATTTACTATCGAATATTCAATACTCATTAAGAGCAATTTTGCAACTTAAAATAATTGTAGTTGGTTCTACTTCGCATTTTATGAACTTAAATTCTAAATTACAAAAGATTCTGGTCATGTTCTAAGACCTCAACTGTCTTAAATTGAGTAACAAAATTACTTAACTAAACACGAAAGGCTGCAAATTTTTTCGGGATAACACAAATCAGACTTAAACTAAGCCTTTTCTTCTCCCGTCCAGTGAACTCAGCTGCCTTAAAATTAATAAAAAGAAAAAAACGAGAGAGTTTTACGTTTTCGGGATAACAATATTTGGTCTTTAAATACGCATTTTCTGCTCTCGTCCAGTATTTTAGAGCTCGACAGAAATTGTGCACATTTATGTTTTCTCGTGTCCTTTTTTCTGTGGCACACAAAATAAAGCTGGTAAAGCGTCAACGTTTGTTGCTGTCATTAATTAGCTGTGCGCAACTCAGCAGCAAGTTTCACTTTTTCATCGTGGTAGTTGTTGTTGTCGTCGGCCCTAATCCATCATTTGCCACAAAAGTCACGTACAACAGTTGCAGCAGCCTCTGAGCTTGAAAAGGAAACTTCCACGCGGAAGAAAGTTCATGTAACTTTAACACACAAACAGGCAAAAACAAGAGGGGGAAAGGGGAACGGGGAATGGGAGGAGTATGCGGCTTATGACTGCCAAGTTTGTTGTAAAAAATTAAGAAATCACTTTCGCCCCGCCGGCAACAAGAATATGTATATATATATATATATATATATATATATATATATATCTGTGTGCAAGTCAGGCTGCAGTTGTATTCTCATCTACCCCTTCACCTCTCCCCAACCCTATCAAAAATTGTTATCTGCCTGTCAAAAAACGACAGCACAAAAGTGATGCGACCCCAAAAAAAGTGTTGCACAAAACAAATGTCAAAAAGGGGCGCCACTTCAACTTGATAAATGTATATGAATGGGCTCTATGTGCATATTATATAGCTGTTATATATACACAATGTGTACATTTATATATATATATATAAGTGTATCTGGTAACGAGCTGCAACACAGTTGGCAAACAAATTTCTGTGATTGGCGTGTGACATTTTCAGCGCAGAGGAACGCGAGCTGCTATTTTAAATGTTCGCATTTATATTTTATGTCTGTCTATGAACATGATTGATGTGCAACAAGGGGGTGTGGCAGCCAGAGGTGCTGAGCAAGTGTCAAGAAAGGTCTAATGT